ATGCAGACTATATAAAGAACAATTGCAACTCAATAATAAAAAGCCAAATAACCCATGTTTTTTAATGGACAAAAGATTTGAATATACATTTCTCCAAATATGATAGATGGGTGGCAAATAAGCACATGAAGAGGTACTAAAAATGATTAGTTGTAAGGGAAATGCAAATAAAATCAGAAGATACCACCTCACACCCACCAGCATGGCCATAATTTACACAGAGGAAAATAACAAGTAAGAATGTAGACAAATTGAAACCTTCACAGACCACTGGTAGGAATGTAAAATGATATAGCCTCTGTGAAAAGCAGTTGGTTGTGGAAAACAGACTTGACAGTTTCTCAAAAAAGTAATCACAGGATTATCATATGACCGAGCAATTTCAGTCTTTGGTGTATACCCAAGAAAACTGAAAACATGTCCACACAAAAACATACACATGAATGTTCACAGCAGTATTATTTCTTATAGCCAAAAAGCGGAAACAACCCAAATATCCATCAACCAATGAATGAACAAATACAAGGAGTTCTATCCATACAATGGAATAATATTTAGCCATAAGGAATGAGTACTAATGTATATGCTATAGCATAGATGAGCCTAGAAAACATTATGTTAAGTGAAAGAAACCAGACACAAGAGGCCACATAATGTAGCTTTCATTTTATATCAAATCTCTAGAATAGGCAAATTCAGAGAGACAGAAAGTATCTTAGTGGTTGCCCAAGCAATTGAGGAGAGACTGCTAACAGGTTCAGGATTTCTTTTGGGGATGGTGGAAACAGTCTTGAATTCGATAGTGGTGATAGTCACAAAACATGAATATACTGAGACCCACTGAACTGTATATCCTTTATGATGGTGTATATTAGGTTATGTGAATTATATCTCAATTAAAAATTAGGGAAAATAAAGGATGACCATGCATGGACCAATGATCGGGTGTGTCAAGAGTTAGGATCAATATAATTCTGTGCACGTGAATTTCCCTACCCTCAACTTCTCAAATGAAGATCAAGAGAAAAATGCTGAGGGCCTGAACAAAGACCAGTGGCCCTGGATCCGGCCAGCAGGACCACACTCAAGAGATGCTGGCAGGAAGTGGAGGAGGAGAACACAGCCCCTCACTGAGACAGGAAATAAAGGATGAGAAGCAGGTTGGTTTCTAAGGGCAAGAGGAGAATGGCTAAGTGAGCCATTGGACTGACTGACAGAGCCTGCAGTCTCAGAGGGCCCCTGGTGAGCGTGCAGGAGACAGAGGACACAGGTTTGCAGCTCAGGAGAGAGGCTGAGTACCTGGGTTGGGAGGATGGATTTGGAGATCATCAGGATGGGCACAGTGGAGGAACTGCCCGCGGTGGTCTGACAGTGAGATTCTCGAGTGATCCCATTTGAAACAGGGAGCCCAGGAGGAAGAGGGTAGAAGTGAATCAGAAGATGGGGTGCTGAGCCCTCAGAAGGAGAAAAGGCCTGGAGGGAGGCATCAATAAGGTCAGATCAGCAGGACTGGAGCAGGAAAGTGACCCCTGGATTTGGTGAGTGGTGATTTCAGTTTAATGTACAACAGTCCAGAGAACTGCATCTGACTTGGGCTCAACTGAGACTGTAGTCAATACTCAAGCAGAATGGAACCAACTACCTTAAAAATAAAAAACTCACCAGGAAAAGCCCCTGACTTGCCTGTGCATGCAGATCCAGTCACCTGGCTTTATTCACACATTCCCTGAGCCAGTCTTTCTGATTCTTTTTTTTTTCTTCTGAAATAGCCTTGTTTTTCTTTACTGCATGTGCTAATACTGGGATGGAGGGCTCAGAGAGTTCCCACCGGCGTCAGTCCTGACCGGCCTGAGAATGGACCATTCTGCCTTGGAGATGCTGGACTTCACAGTTCAGGGGAAAAACACGAACATTAACTTTTTTAACTACAGAATCTTAACTAGGCGAAACACACATAAAAAAGGGGGATAAGAATATGGGCAGACGAGAGCACTTGCTTCTGGTTAGTCTCTTCACTATTTTTTTCCAATTATATGTGCTTTTTGATACATTCAAGTTTTCTTACAAAGAGCATGTATTACTTTAAAGACAAGAAAAAATGGTAAGGCTTGGAAAAAATGTTTTCATCAAATTCGAACAGGAGGCAAGCAGGGCTAACAATGTTAATGCTAGATGAACTAAATTCAGGCAAGGAAAAGAAAAGTTATGCTTCTAGGATGAAGCATTACATAATGGGAGCAATGGCTAATAACGAAGCCATGAAGATACAAATCTATAGTCACTAAAGAAACTGACAACGAGACACAGAAATCAGACATTATTAGGAACATGGGGAGGAACAGTCAATTGTAGGAAGAGATTTTAAAACACCATTATAAAAAAGACTTAAGAAAATCAACTCATAGTCTACCTAAATACACAAAATTGATGTCTGGCAGGAATTCAGTCCCATGATTACAGTGTGGTGGGGGGTGGTCTTCGCAGGTGTACACAGAACATTTACAAAACTCAATAGTACTAGTCACAAAGAAACTGTCAATAAGGAAAAAAATGTTAAATTCGTCTTCTAATTAAAGAGAAGACACTTCTGGCTTGGAGAAAATATAGAGGCTAAAGCCGGGGAAGGAAAAGAGGGAAACAGTGTCAGTGTAGTCTAAATATCCCCTGGTATTTGGAGGAATGAGGGGTGGTGAATGGGACTTAACTTCAGGGTCAGCCTGGACCAGATACCTCTTCCCCCCTTTTTCTCACCACTAAACATCTTCATTTAGGCCTGAAGTGTAACAATTGCAATGGTACTTGTGGTTTTCAAGGTGTGGGTCCTGCCCCAAAGCCCTAAGTGTCACCTGGGAGTTTATGAGAAATGCACAATCTCAGCCCTACCCCAGACCACCTGAGGCAGAATTTTAGGGTGGGGTTCCAGAAGGTTCTCAGACAAAAGCATCTGATCCTAAAGGTGTATTAATACCTTTATTACTAAGGTGTCTCCCTTAGCCCTTGAGCAGGTGACTCTGAGAGGTGGGTGTCTCTGGCCCTCAGTGGGATTCAGCTGCCAGAGCCCACAGTAGCAATCTGTATAACAGCTCCTCCTCTGGTGCCTTCCCAGTCCTGCCTCCCCACCCACCTAGGGAGGCTCTCTCCACCTCCCAAATCAACTAATGAACTCAAATCTTTGGGGGAGCCCAAACTAAGACATTTACTGGAGACCCCTGTGCTCACGGAGCTTGCATCTGGTTGAGGCTGGCTTGGATTTCCATTTTTCCCTCTCTGGCTGAACTCTGCTGGGATTTCCCTGGGGACAGAGCCCCACCAGCAGAGAGTCCTTGCTCCAATTCACCCCAGTACCTATGGTACCCTCCCATCTCCGGGTTGGCTAGCTCTCCTCTGCGCCACCTCTGGCGGCTTTGCTGCTAGCCCTGCTCACCTTTCCCAGCCCTACCGAGCTTCATCACTCACTGCCTCACTGGGTGAGGCTCACTGAGGGTCTCCTACCAGCCAGGCCCTGTGGAAACATGGCCTGCCCAGCCCTGAAAGGTCAGCTGTGCAAGACACGGCAAAAGCACGTGCTGTGTGCTGGAGCAGGACATAGGGTGCTGAGGGAGCACAGAGCAGGGGCTCTAGAATGTCAGGAAGGGATTCTCTGAGGACATGACATGTAGGGGATACTGGGGAACAAGTGGGACTTGGCCAGAACACAGAGGGGGAGGAAGGTCAGGGATTCCTGGTAAGGGCATGGAGTGCTGCTGAAGCCAGAGGTCTGTGGCAGGTGCACAGAGAGGCTGCAGAATGGGGCTCTGTGAGCCACCCCAGAGAGAGAGACTCTGCCAGATGACTTAGAGGCTTCAGGGAATGGGAAGAATCTCTTTCCCACCAGAAGACTAGCAATGTCATTTTTAGAAGAATCTATAGATAATGAAATGGTCGAAGGTTAAAGAAACAGCAAAATTTGGGGCATAAAAAACCCAGCAGATGACCCATTAGTCCTCAAAATCTGAAGGCCCCAGAGACCCATAGTGGCCTGGCAGGCACACTGCTGGGTCAAGGTGCACAGAAGCCATCCACTTGCTACAGGAGGCCAGTTCAGAAGGGGCAGGATGACTTCAGCTCCAGGCCGATGAAGTGTGACAGGCTCCTGGAGATAATCAGGATCATCCAGGACCTCTACCTAGTCCTGCATGCTCCTCTGGGAGTGCCCATGGGGTAATCCTTCTCTCCTCAGCATGCTGACAGCAAGGGGTTGAGCCCACCCCTAATCCTTCAGGGGCTGGAAGCGAAGCCTCCTTGGCCTTGAGCATGCATGCTGGCTGTCTGGCTGTCTCTTGTCACCAACTTGGGGGCTTCTCCCTGCAGTGAGCACAGTGGATTTTGTAGGCTATGAGCCAACACAAAGGCACGATTAATGAAAGCACTCCCCCACTCCCACCTAGACACCAGGCGCCTTCCTCTGACTTGTCTCCAAGGACGTCAAAGGATTTTTGTTACTGCCAGTCAAGATTTACTTACTTTCTATTTTTTCAATTGAGCCATCATTACTAACAGCACTGAAGTCCATAAAACCTGCAAACACTACCCATTTCTACCTATAGTCATGTTAGCCACGGTGGCTCAAAAGGGAATTCTTACGTAAGATGAACAGTTCCCATCATGGGACAGAATTTCATTTTTCACTTTGCTTCTCAGGACAGGACAGTGGGGCTGGGCTGGGGGTGGGAATGTGGAAGAATTCAGCTTTGGGTGTCATCTACTTTAGGTAACATGAAGAGGGGAAATTAGCCTACATTCATGACCAGTAATCCTGAAAAGCCCTGTGGGACTCAAGGAATAATGAACCAGTGCTGGCCTAGATTTCTGCCTCAAAGCATCTCCCATTCCCCAGATCTGGCCCCAGGGACAGGAGACAGAGACACCTGGGCTCCCATTGGAGTGAAAGTGGCATGCCCCCACTGACGTGTGCTGCCATCTCCCTCCGCGGAACCCTCTGCAGGCCGGCTGCCCCGTACCTTCGTCACTGTTGTCATCCACGAGGATGATCTCCTTCAGCAGGTGTGTGGGCGTGTGGTTGACGGCACTGTGGACTGAGCGGAGGATCACCGACAGGGCCTCGTTCACAAAGATGAAGATGATGGAGATCTGGGGCAGCTCCTTGGAGTACTGGAGCTCCCTACACCTGGGAAGAAAGCCGGGGAGAGCGGAGTCAGAGGGAGGTGGAGCACCATGGCTGGACACAGGAGGGATTCCAGCCCCTCCTCCACGTCTCCCAAGCCTTGAACCATTGGTTCCCCTCTTGGCCTTTCCTGGCTGAGCCCTGCAAATCAGGCCTAACAGGAGACCAGTAAGGGACCCAGCCCCACTTCTCCCAGATTTGCCACCCTAGAGGAACCAGAAGCATCAGTCTTGGGCACATATCTGCTGTATCATAGGCTGCCATAGCCCCACTTCAGTGCCCACCTGTCTAACTCCCACCCTGGCACCTGTGTTTCCTGGCTGGGACCTGCTTTGCTGCTGCGAAAGCAATCACCCCACCTCCATCAGCCCTTGCCCAGAGACAGCTGGGAGCTGATGCACAGATACCCCAGCTCACCACAGCCCTTGAGCAGGTGACTCAGACTTGGAGGTGCAGGGAGGATTGTACACGGGCCCCCAGAGCTCCCCCAGTGGTGGTGAGCCATATAACACCCCTCCAGGGGGCCTTCCTTCTGCAGTCCTTCCTACTTCCCACTCCCCTTAGTGGTGCTCTTTTCACCTCCCAAATCAATTAATGCACTCAAATCTCTGTGGCAGGTCTGTTTCTGATGGAGTCCAAACTAAGGCACGAACTGGAGACCACTGTGCTCATGAAGCTTACATTCTGAAAGGTATAAATAATCATCATGGAGGAAGCAGGCCTCCTGCCTGCAAGGAGTGTGCTGTCTGACACACCCCGACTCTTCCTGCAAGACTTCTTAGAATGTCCCTTGGGGAAGGAGACGGGGCCACCTGCCTAAGAGGTCCTCCTCTCTAATATCCAGTGACTGCCCGATCCCTGAAGTCAGGAGTGACGGGGAAGAATCCTCTTCATCCGGGCTGGACTCGGGTGCAGAGCTTTGACCTCCTGGGGCTCCCCATGGTGTAAGAGATGCTTTAAGACCCAGGGAACGTGCTCTGCGTGGCTCAGCCACGGGAGCACCAGTGCTCTGTCCTAGCAGCTCTGAGGAATTTTTTTTATACTTAGTCTGAGCCACAGTGGAAACCAAATAGGACAGAATGGTGAGCTGGAGCATTTCAATACATCCTCCTTCTGCTGTGAAATTGCACAATACAAAGCAGGATGTGGTAGAGGGCAAAACAAAGGGACACAATGAGGGACTGAGTGAGAGGGAAGCAACCTTCATGAGGGAGCAAGAAATATGGCTGTTTTTTATGCTGAGCAGCGTGGGCTGTGTCGGGTTGTATTAATCATGTAGGCAATTTTTGGAAGAAAATAAAGTTTTGTTGCAATATACATTTGTGTCTCCTGGAGGAGACCATCCGGGGATCCATTGATCACACAGCCTCATTTTTATCATGTCGCTATAAATTCACTTCTGGAGGCTGCCAAGGAGGCAAGAATGGTTATTGACAGGCTCCCAAGCAGCTGACGGGAATCACCTCACTTACTGCATGGTGATCCCAGGGAGGAGGGCACCCCAAAAGTCCCTCTGAGCCCCTTTGGCCAGGGTCGGTGGCCAGCCGGAGGCTGGCAGCTGCTCCTTCTCAGCCCGTTCCTCACCAGCCACTCACGAGCACACACACAGTGCACATTCGCCTACTCTGAGCATTCATCCCTAGGGCTCGTTCCTCTGGTCCTTTGTTTTTAATGCCTTCTCGTTCTTGAAATTAAGAAGCAAAATAGGCCAGATTGCCCTGTACCTGCGCCATCTTCTCTACCCACAGGCGATGCGGTCATGCTGCCATCAGGGCAAAGCTGTGAGCTAGGCTTCTTGGCTGGAGCAGGCGATTCCCCCACTCCAATGAAGCGGGAAACACGGTAGCCACAGGGAATGACTGTGCCTTCTCAAGGGTCAAGGCAGCAATTCAGGAAGTCATGGGGGCATTTCAAAACTGAGAACTGCTCTGCCACACGTGGGAGACACTGCTCATGTCTCTTCATCCCTCAATGGTCAAAATCATCCACACCATCAATTAGCTCTGCGTACCTGGCTGAAGTCCTTATAAGGACCAAGTGAGACCAGCATTCGGGAGCCCCATGAAAATGCAGAGCACCAACTAATGGAAAACCCAGTCTGCCGGACCAGCCCCCGCTATTCTCCCTGCTGGCTCCTCTATTCCCTTTGTATATTCCCCACTACCGCGGGCCAGGCTTCCAGAGCCTTCACTTAACTCAGGCCCTTCCTGCAGGATGCTCCTCCCTGACATGGCCCACCCAGGCCTCTAACCTTGCCCAGCTTACAACATTCACCTCTCCCGGGGCCTTGTCCTCAGGGTCTCACAGTAGGGATGCTTTATGAGTATGGTCATTATTATGAAAATCAGCATTGTTTCAGTTGGTCTTTAAGATCTAGGGAAGTAGACTCTGCCTTAAAATAACCTCTAAGCCTGCCTTATTGCCTGATATGTAGGTGATGTACAGAATATGCTGGAGAGAGATACAGTTGAAGTTTTAAGCACTTTCTGTAAGAAGTGGACACTGACTGATACATCCAATCAGACACCTAATGCCCAATGCACAGGGTGAGTACAGGAGATGAGACGAAGGGTAGACAGTGCAGAGAAAGAGAGGGCTCACAGTGAAAGAGCACAGATATGCCTCCTGCCCCTAAGAGTTGATGCTGAATCAGTTCTTGCTGTGGCCCGATGACCCTCAGACAGCATATCAAAACACACACATCTGGGTGCCCCACCCCTGCAGACTGGGGCATTTGTCCCCCTTCCTGAGATCCTGCAGAGCTGAGATTGTGGAAGGTGCTCGGTGCCCAGGGCCACAGTGGGGTGGTATGCATGGTACTCTCTGGGTGGCCCATGCCAGGCAGCTGGGCAGGAAGACCTGGGGAGGGGGAAAGTCAGCTCAGAGCTTGGCTCCTAGCCCTGTCTCTATATAATGGAACATACAAAATCAGACACATTTCCTGCCTCTCCAACAGCCTTCCAGGCTGCAAAATCCAGGTAAGTAAGTAAGAGTAGCCTGGAGGTTTGTGAGAACAGCTTCCAGATCTGAAAGATACCCAGGGAGCGAGGAGAGAATGGCGCACCACAGAAACTACAAAATACCTTAAGAGCTACAGCTGAGGGCTGCTGCATGTCCCTCTAGCAACAAAGAGTCAGAGCTGGGTCTCCAAATCACAAATTTCCTTCCATTAACTAGTCAGTGAGTAATAAACCATTTTTTTTCTGAAAGAAGGTGGTTGGTAAAGTCCAGATCAATTTTAGTCAATGCACAAAGCCTAAGGGGGCTACAGAGAAATTCAAGACCAGATTCCTCAACTCAGAGAGCTAATAGAGACAGCTCTGCCAAGCTGTGCAAGAGAAAGCAGAGACAAATAACCAACCAAGTAAGGTCTCTTAGACACCCTGCACCTGTCCATTTGTTTGTCTATCCATCCATCTTCCTGGGATGTTTCCTTGAACTTGGTACTTCCCCGAGAGTAATTGCTATTTCTGCCACACCCCAGAGCCATGCCATGGACTTGACTTTACACCAAGTGCCCCTTACTTTCCTTCACTGATGCTGAGTAAGGAAAGGGGAGCTGAGGAGACCAGGAGAGGGTCAGAGTTGGCATGGAGGAAGGTCAAGGACCAAGGTTTCCAACAAGGAAGAAATCAAAGCCCAGATCACTGGCCATAAGCAGACCCCTGTCTATGACCACCTTGTAAGGAGACAACTTACATGACCCCAATGTGGTGCAGATAAAAGATACCAGGTCTCACGTGTGGCCCAGTCTGCCAACCCAGAAACAAAAAGATGTCCCCAAAACATCCCCTTTGATGTAAAAGAATTTAGATGCAAAGTGAGACTTGAAAGATTATAGATAATGATTACGATGATAATAACTAACACTTACATTGTGCAGGTTACATGCTAGAAACTGCTGGAAACTTCTAGGTACTGCTCCATCTCATTTAACCTTCACAGCAACCTTGTGAGATAGGTAGTGTTATCCCCATTTCATAGATGAGAAGACTGAGCACACAGGGGTGGAGGCACTTGCCCTAAGTCATGCAGTGAGTCTGAGAAGCAGCAGAGTGCCTAGATGTAAGCTTCATCGTCTGATGTTTAGACTCCTCCAAATGCCTGCACCTGACCAGGGCAGGGCATGGGAGCCACAGCAGACACACCTCCATGCGATTTTTACCCCAGCCCCTTCCTAGCTGGGGGACCTTGGCTAAACTGCTTAATCTGTCTGAGACTGTCAGCTTTCTCTCTCTACCCTAAAAACTCCAACCAGGAGACAGCATTCCATGGCTGGCTGCACCGTGCTGAGGCCGCTGAGGACAAGCAGCATGCAGACCAGAGAGTCCCCATCAAGTGGGATGTATGTGGTGAGCAGAAGCCAGTCCCACCTCACTGGGATTAATAAGGCTGGTGGGAATGTGGGCAAAGCTCCTCTGTTCTGGCTATGTATCTGGACAGGGTGCCACTTTGGGAAGTGGTCCCCAGGGAGTTATCAGAAGCCCCTTACCCAAAGGACCTCAAGCAGAGAGGTGGCACACCTGCCCTCAGCCATGCTGGGGCACTGCAGAGATCCTGCTGCTAATGAGCCACTGTGGGCCTTGTGCACGCAGGCCCGACTCTGTCTGCCCACACCAACCCCAGGGGCAGGGCCAGAGAGCCCCAGGACTTCAGGGCCTGGGTGTGGAAGGTGCACATGTGTGTGTGCTCAGGACAGCAAGGTGGGGCTGGCTTAGACTCCACTGCATCAGCCTCCACTCCTTATCCCCAATCCCACTCATGGCCATTGGGTCCGTCTAAGGTGAGGGCTCGCCTCCCAGGACCTGGTTTCTCCCTGTCACTTAGCTCTCACAGACCGTCATGAGGTGGCTGATCTGCAGGGCCCTCCTGGACGCTCACCTCAGCGCAGGCTCCAGGTCAAACGACAGCCCTCAGTTTCTGCCAGAGTGTTTGCATGACCCTGGTGAAGTGACCAATTTCCAAGCGCCAAGCTCTAATCCTGCTGCCAGCAGCCAAGGGCT